TTATCTATCCTAATAACCGGATAATTAGCAATGAAACATGGTCCGGATAATCTATCCGAATAACCGGATAATTAGCAATGAAACATGGTCCGAATTCAGACTCTTAACTCACTTTCCTGATCTGCTCGCCGAAGTGGGTGTACTCATTGGTCGAAGTGGTTCTAACCCAGTTGCAGAAGCGGTTCTATCATATTATTTGCCGTAGAGGAGCACTAACATATTATCCGGATTTTGCTAAAGCGACTCAATTACCCAGCTCTAGTGTAAAGGAAGTGAAGGGTGTGGGCAGAAAGTGTAGACGAAAGCAGACAACAGAACAACCCACCAACACACGTTTGAGCAGACTCCGGTTTAATTGTCGGTCTGCTTCTACCCCACCTCCTTCAGCCGCAAATAATAATCTCGACGTCTATTCCAGATAGATCGGCATTTTTTTTTTCATTAAAAGATAGTCAAATGTACAAGCTATATTTAATAACTTCATTCACAAGCCGAGATTGACGAGCGCTTGATTCTACCGCGTCGTGACACATATTTCTGTCTATAAATATATTCACTCCTGCCTGTACATTGATGTATACAGTTAAACCGAGAGTTTCGGTGAATTACTGGGAAGTTGCACCTCTTCCTCAGCCCCGCAGCCTGTCTCCTAAATGACCACAGGATCTTGCGTCAAATATACCAGACACACATCTACCGTCACATGTATGCCAGACACACATCGCGGTAGACTGTCAAATATACCATACACGTCAAATATACCAGACACACATCTACCGCCAAATATACCAGACACACATCTACCGTCAAATATACCATATACATCGCGGTAGACTGTCAAATATACCATACACATGCACACATCGCGGTAGACTGTCAAATATACCATACACATGCACACATCGCGGTAGACTGTCAAATATACCATACACACATCACGGTATAGACTGTCAAATATACCATACACAACGCGGATTAGACTGTCAAATATACCATACACAACGCGCTAGACAGTCAAATATACAACACATCGCTGTATAGGCAGTCAAATATACCACACACATCACTGTATAGACAGTCAAATATACCACACATCGCTGTATAGACAGTCAAATATACCATACATATCGCTGTATAGGCAGTCAAATATACCACACATCGCTGTGTAGACAGTCAAATATACCACACATCGCTGTATAGGCAGTCAAATATACCACACACATCGCTGTATAGACAGTCAAATATACCACACATCGCTGTATAGACAGTCAAATATACCACACATCGCTGTATAGACAGTCAAATATACCATACATATCGCTGTATAGACAGTCAAATATACCACATATCGCTGTATAGGCAGTCAAATATACCACACATCGCTGTACAGACAGTCAAATATACCATACACATCTCGGAAGACCGTCAACTAAACCATTATTTTATATGAGCATACACACTAGTGCATGTTTGGTCTCTCTCTCTCTCTTTCTCTCTCTCTCTCTTTCTCTCTCTCTCTCTCTCTTTC